AAAAAAAAAAAAGAAAAAAGAAAAGAAAAGAATGTTACCGTGGTAACAGTGTCCCTTCTGGTTGTCGAAAGTTCTCTGTCTTATACTAATTTCCATACAATTTTTTGGGTAAATGCCACCAAATATACAGAGAAACTCGAAAGATATTCTACGCAGCTTACTAGAACATGTATTTTAGGTAAGACGTACACCATTACAGGGATAGGAATGGATTACAGGTACGAATTGAAATTTGATGTTGTGACAGGATGTAGAGAAATCAAAATTGCCATCCTGGTAGATTAGTGATTTTTCTTTTTACTTCATATTTCTTTGCTTTCACCAATTTTGACGTTTTATTTTTCTTTTATATTTCAAGGTAATAGGGTGAGTTCACAGCATACTCTTTAATTTAGGAGACACTTTCCCTTTAATTTAGATATGCTAACGGTACGTCTAACAGACTTGACGAACAGTCGTAGTCTGCAGGCGGGAAGCACGCGTTGGTTCACGGTTAGGCCACAAAGTAAACAAAGACTGAGGAAATTATGAATGATCATAAACATTTGCATTTCACCATATATCATTGGAAGATTGGACGTTTAACAATTGTCATCATCATTGTTTGGATTCGTGGAAAAACATCATACTTAAACATTTCGTAAGGATTCAAAAGATCGTATGATTTTGGTTGTGGTTGTTGTTGAAGTTGTGATGGTGTTTATAGTGGCAATTGTTAACAAAAGAGTGTGAAGTTGAACCTGAATATTTTAGGTAGTACTGTAATTCCCGGGGTATAAGGTCACTTTCAGACCACTTGAGTTTAAGCTGTTCGAGTGGACGCCTTCAAAACCGTCAAAATCCCCGCGAATATTGTAGAGGTTAACGTAACTGACCATTCGATTGTAAGCCTTCGTTTCGAAACTGTACAAATACTTCGCGATAAATAAGACAGTTAGTGATGAACACTTGCGGCATTTTCATAACTACACCAACGGACATCTTGTAAGGTGCAAAGATACAGACACATACTGTTACTGTATAAGAAACCTTTTTGTATGCTTACCTTTGTAAATATCGATATGCATCACGATCAACCAGGAATTCATCCCCAGCAAGAAGATCAGAGACAGCCAGGTTACTCAACCTCTTCGTCGATGCATTTACACCAAGGTTGTTTGAGATCTGTGCGCAGATGAAGAATACAGCTTAATAAAGTGATTCTGGACAATTTTGGTCAAAACGCTGCGTACCTTTCTTCAGTAATCAAACGAGGTTTCGACAAAATACTGACCCCCGTTCAGCTTCCTCCCCCCCTCCCTAATGACCCCCCTACTGACCCCCTGTAAAGTCAACAGGAAAATAAAACTTAAAAAAGCACAGAACTATCAGTGGGACCCCTTCAAGTTCATACATAAATTTAGCTTATCTAAAATGGAGCAGCTACACAATACAGGGCCACTTTTGAAGGTGCATATTTAATTTGTGGCTCGTTTGGCTCGGCAGTGCATAAAAGAACGAGGAATAATCTATATATGCGTTGCCCTAGGTCTATATATTTAGTGGCTCGTTTGGCTCGGCAGTGGATGAAAGAACGAGGAATAATCTACATATGTGTTAAGTCCTAGATCTATATATTTAGTCAAAGGAGCAAACGCGCCAAACGAGCCAAACGAGCCGGCCCTTTTGGTGGATGATTAAAAGTGGCCTGTATTCTGTAGCTCCGGGGTGGCGGACTAGTTGCAGACTTCCGATTCTCTTCTCCTTTGATTGTAAGTGCAGGGTTTGTTTACGAAAAATCGAGCAAGGAATTACGTTGGAATATCATCAAGTATGGTATTCGCACCCATTAGGAAATTAAGTAATGAAAGTGACGAAGAAACGTTGGCTGTATGAATACGCTGGCGATTGACCGGGGTTATAACACGAACAGGGGAACGTTACCATCAACCTGAAGACGATTTTCCCTGGTAGTTTTAGGTATTTCGCCAAGTTTCCCCAAGCCAGAATGCAAATTTTAAAATGGTTTTGGATAATTTTCTCCTTGACGCATGTGGACGTCAAAAAGACCACGGATTCTCAAGTAACTCAATCTCGTTTAATAGACACTTTCTTAAAGAGCTTCGCACATGAAAATAATGGCCTTGTAATGCTGAACAACACAACCATCTACAACTATCTAACAGAGCATTGAGCTTCATTGAGGACGAGAAAATCTTCCCAATGCTCAAAGCAACTTATCACCTTACGGGTAATTCTATAGGGGGGAGGGGGTGGTGACATTAGCGATTTTTTCGTTGCGAAACATTCTCGTCCCCCGAGGCCGCGCTCCTTTTGGTCAGCACCAAGAATCGCGACCTCTGGCCGGACCCGATTTTCTGAGCATGGGCAGAGTATTTATTTCGTATTCTCAGCCAATCAGATTTGACAGGTCTTTGAATCGCGGACTTCCGGTGTTGGACAAGCCCAGAGGTCGCGATTCTTTGTGCTGACCAAAAGGAGCGCGGCTTCTGAGGACGAGAATGGTTGCGCAACAACACTCTCATCACTTGTGTGACCTCTGTTGATGTATCGTCTGTGTGTGTGTGTCGCCCATTGTTACTCACAAACGTATTTACTTGGCGAGCATTTCTTTGTTACTTTCAATGTTCAATTTTCTAATGGGTACGAATACCATGATACTCGATGATATTCCAGCTTATTCTGTGCTCGATTTTACGTAGAGGAGGGTCGAAAATCTGCAACTCGTCCGCCATCTTGGAAATTTCAGGTGAGCTAAATTTATTTGTGAACTAGAAGCAGTTCCATTGATAGTTTTGGGCTTTTTTAAATTATCTTTTTCTCGTTGATTTAGGGCGGGGNGGTTAGTAGGGGGTCAGTTGTCTGGATGTCGGTGTTTTGTCGAATCCCGTGATGGCTTTGGTGTTTTTTGCAGTGGTCGGAGTCTATCATGCAGACGTCTAGGCCAGCAAGAAACCTAGAAGGGTTAAAGATGATTTCCATTCCGTACTGCGCAGTCTCGGCACCCAAATGTTTATAGACATTCTCTTTTTGACATTCAGTGTCGTTACGAACCACATACCTTATCTTTGAGGGCTTTCAAATTCTTTTTCCAACAGCTTTATTGATTTTACGGCTGCGAAGCTGTTTCGTCCAATGATAAGAGAAAGAACGAAGCATAAAGCGTCGCATCCATAATGGCGGTTGACATGAAACTTTGCCGGAATTTTCTTCATGTAAGTGGTTGCAAAATGTTTACACCTCGTGACGTCTTACATGAGGCAAAACAAAAAACGTAACCAATCAAACTCTCGAGAGTGCGTAATGGGGACTGGAAATCATCTTTAATGCAATTCAATTTTTAAACTATGTACCACGTAAATTATCGAATTCCTTTGAGTTTAGTGATGTAAACAGATGCGTTTGACTCACGTGGATCTCGGAAACAAGAATTCATGGTGGTGATGGCCCGACCTCGTGTTATGTTAATCAGCTCGATCAAAATCATCGGAAATCGTTGTACAGCCTGTAGAGATGCTTAAACTACGTCTTAACGAATTTTAGAAAACGCAGCTGTAGCAAAATTCATTTTCTACTACAGCTACAAACATTTGTCAAAACGCTTTGAAAGACAAAGCATTTGGTCATGGCTGGAAATATGGAATCGGAAAACCAGGAATACGGTAACCAGGATTCAGGAATCTGGAAACCGGATACTGAAATTCAAAAATCAAAGAAAACAAGTTCATCATCACACAAAACATTATGTTGCACAGTTCTTGCCCGTAAAAATAAGGGGGCCATTTTAAAAATAGCTTCCCCAAACTTCACCTCTTTTGAAACAAGGATTCCTCCCCTGTTGAAATTCATTCAGTCATTATATCTAGCAAAGGGTATGGTTTTGAGAATCTGAACTAACATACGTCACAGTTTCAATCTAGGCACCCTAAGAGCGACATTGGATATTCAAAGACTAACCTGGCTCATTTAAACAAGTTGTTTATCCATAAAACCACATTTTGCAACAAGACAACATGGGAACCAATTTCTGTGTGCAAAGCAAAGCAAAGCAGAGCAAAGCAGAGCAGAGCACAGCGTCGGACAAAAAGTATTCACTACATCGGGATCAAACTCAGTTATAGACTTTTTTTGTAGTTCCATTAGAAACTGAATCACTTATGTTCATGTAAATCTTTCGGAAACATGTAGCCGTGTAAATAATGAAACAAGCAGAGAACTCCATTTGAATTTTGAAGGACTCCGAAATAGCATATTGCATTGCAACCAATAGAAGTCGTTTAATAACTTCGTGGAAGTAAGGTAGTTTTCTTTCTTGTGTTAACTCCCCACGAACTAATGAGCTTTTAATGACTATTAAACATAAGCTTACCTCTTTAAACACATTCAGAGCTTGTCCAAATATTCCCGTTTGAGCAAATTTGGAAATCTGTCTTATATAAAGTGCGCGTAATTGATAAGGCTCGAGTTTATCTTCGGCTGTGAGTGTTGGGCAACAAGCCATTTTCTTGATGCACTTTTATTCTCCTTTCTTTTTTTTTTTTTTCTATGTAAACCGTTATTTGATAGCAAACTTCGCAAGCTCAGCCTACGTCACAGTACCAGTTATGCGCGCGCGCCAAATAAACTGGGCTAGTGCATACTGAGCGGGGAGAGGACGCAACAAACCGCGGAGCGCGCGTAGATTTAAGAATCAAGAGCCAAAACCGTGGACGGAGACTGTAAGTCTAAAGTAAGTCTTGCACGTTTTCAGTCTGCTATTTAAGGGACGGGCGCGACTAAAGGTCGCACAAATGAATTTTATTTTTCACGAATAAATTGCGCGATGCGTATGTGCAGTCAACAGTTAGAGGAAAAAAATCGGTCAGTGATCAGTAGGAGGTTAACTTTTTTTAGGGCAATCAGGGTTGCTTCTGTGTAATGCGGTGATTCTGGTTTTCGAACGCGCACATTAAGTTTGGCCTTGGGTTTTTTTTAATGGAACTATTTCAAGCTTCACCAGCTTAATTAAGCGAACAAGATTCTCTAAGCTCACTGTTCATTCTTTCTGCACGAGTGCGAATTGTATTCATTAAATGATAAGATTACGAGTCCGACATTTTTTGAGAGCAAACAGTTAACGATGTGCAGCTCGCGAATTATCGCTCAGACGAAACGAAAGCTGCGTAGTAGACACTCTAAAGGATCGCAGTCCAAAGCTTTTAATTGCGGTGCATATTTGAAAATTTCTCTTTTCAAGAATAACACGCGCACGATGTGTTCTGTAGGCCAATAGAAAACAATGGGGAAGCAATCAGATTCCCACTGAAAATTTACGCCGAGTGTCCGCTACTATCATTTACTCAGAAACTCAACCCAGCGAAACGAGTGCGAAACGCGCGAGGCTAGTACAAGTATCTCGCGGAATTTCCTTCAGGGACAGACCATTATCGTTGAGAGGAGGGTTTGGGCAATTTTCTGGGGCATGAAATTTCTCATCTAAGCACACCTATCGACCAATGAGAGCGCGCGTAGCATCTCAGTTATTTTACAGTTAGCGATAGTACACACTTAAAAGTCTGATACGATATACTTACACTCAGTAAGTCCTGCGAGCGCACAAGTAATTTAGTCATTTACCAGTTCGAAGCAGTCTTCGTGCAAAATTATTCTTTTTCAATTACTCTAATTCCAAGCTAATTTCTCGGTCGATCTTTCATGTTTGATTCCGGAGGAGATGCAATAAAGACCCGGTTTTACATTACAAGAAAGGGGCGTCAAGTAACGTGACATAGTATGCTCCTAGGTGTAGTCATTGTTTATATTTAACCTTGTGGCGTTCAATGCCAAGAGAAATAGTATGTCGTTTCACTGACTGGTGGATCAAACTCTACCCGAGACCCAAAATAACAAGGACGAAACATGACCGGTTTGAACGTCTTCATTGATCCGTCTCCTCTCTGTACTTGCTGTAGCTTAATAGTAACCAGTATCGCTCCTTTTCCTCTTATCTTGCACGTGCATAGCTTCATCTGAGTTCCTCCAAGTCCTCCTCTGACTCGTCTGTTTGAAAGGAACTGGTGCGGCAAGGTTTGCTTGAATGACTTGAAATTTCCGGCAGATTTTCGAAACTCTGCGCTAGTTTCGAAGACGACGCGCGCGCCTCGGAAAGATTCATACCTGGTTCGGAAAGAAACGGAAATAAGTGTCGGAATGTTTGACCTGTGTCGGGAGAAGACGAAACTTCAGTCTCCTCTGCAAAATAAACAGATTATAATCAATTAATCATATGACTGGGAAACATCACTGGTGATTGCCTGAGAACAGGCCAATTTATCGTTAATTCTAATTCATAGCACTGCAGTGCAAATTAATGCGCATGGGCTCCTAATTTTCTCAGTCGCTTTATAAATGAGTAGTCAGATGAAAGCTCGAGCAAATAAGGATTTACTCTACTTGTGATATTTAAATTTCTTGCGAATTGCACTGGCCTAATGGCTCATAGGTAAAGGCAAGGCAAGGTAATTGCAATTTTGAGAGAACTTTCAAATATCACTTGTATTTATACGATTACTAATGCTTATTAGGCATTACGCATTGTCGTTTAAATTAGGGTTGTGTCTTTTTAGCTGTTGATAGTTTTACTCACCGAGGATAGCGTCCTCTCTTAAAGATCTGAACTCCGCAACAGTTTGACGCTTTAGTAGCGGTTTTGGTTTTTTCCTTTTGACGCGTATTCTTGACTTGTCATGATCTAAATTATTTAAGTCCTCTATCTGAAAGTGAAAATGATAATAATACGCAAGCAATACTAAGCAATTAGATTATGAGCTCGAGATTTCTATCGCGTGATAGTTGACGAGGGCGCAGCCCTCGTCAACTATCACGCATAGAAATCGAAAGCGAGTAATTTAATCAGTGTTCTAGTATAAATCTGCTATTCGTTCAGAACTTTATCTAAATTCTCTTCGCAGAAACTTCTAAAATGCCAAGGTGCGGCCGTCATTTAGTTAACAAGGGCACACTGCTACGTTACTCACTATCTATCACAGAATAGATAGTGAGTAGCGTAGCCAATCAGAGAACGGCATTCGTGATTGAACGCCAGTAGATTTATACTTATTAACAATAGACTACGTCTCAGAATAAACTTTGGAAATGAAAAAGATCCAAAAACACTTTGACTAAAGGGTTCCTTCAAAGCACAACAAAAGTAGAAACAAAAAACGTATTCGAGGAGTTGCTATCTCACACAAACGCTTGTTTTACCTCACTCGGCATACTGTTGTTTTCAGGTCCTTTAGTTCTCCACACTTATGATTGAATAGCGATACAAGGTAACTTTTTTTGAAATCCATTGGCTTGGAGAAGACATACATGAAGCCTTCAAATGACATTGGACTCGTTAAGCGACTCCGCTTAAGACGGAAGATCATTTTTCTGAGCTAGACGCCAAAATAGTGCAGTATTACCGACAGTCCCATCCATGTAAATCGTAATTAGTTTAAGACTAAAATTCTCAATGAGATATACAGTGTTAAATTCCATATTAAGAAAGACTCTTAATACCTGTGTTGGTTTGTGAAGATTGATGTAGAACTGTACATCTCCTTCTCCATGCACCGATATCTTGCCAATCACATCAGGAAGCTTTGTCGGATCACTGAGCCTAAACTGCAGATAGAAATCAACAAACGTGGTCTTGCCTGTGAACATAACTGTACGCTCCTCGGTATGGTCAGCGGCATCCCTGTCGGATTCAAAGCTACCACGCACAAGGAATCGAGTTTTGCCTAAGGGTAGAGACAGCGGCTGGGAGCAAACTTCAGAAATAAAGCATTTGTCAGGATTCTTAAGTTGTGAATTGTCAAATAGAGCAACTCTTAACACAAACTGTTTACCAGGCTCTACGATCTTGGTCATGAGCCCTCGAAGGGACGTGGTAACGAAGTTGCTGTTTTTAGTGTTGTTGCTGGTAGGGAAAAGGAGTTCCCTTGAAATGCAACCAGATATTTGTTCAATATAGCGCATGTTGTTGTTTGTCATCCGCCGAACAAGTTTGTATAACCCTCCTCTTGTGATCAAGAAAGAACCAACTTTGGACCCGTTTTCCATGGTCTCAATCTGAAAATTACAACACCAAAGTAATGAGCAAAAACTCTCTTAAAGAAAACCAGTTTTCTTTAAACAACCTCCACACTGTTGTTACAACTAAGCTGGTCAGGTTATCAGTCTTTTAATTTTGCAGATACAAAAATAATCTCTTTCACAAAGGTTGTAAATCGTACTTTATAGTGCCTTAATCCCAGACTGATTAAGTATTTTTTATCACTAAAAAATTGTGGGGAAGATTTCAATTATTCATGCTAATAATTTCTTACTGCTGCTTTTATCGTTGCTTGCAGTGACTGTGTTATGGATAATATATCTCCGATGACTTACGTTGTTAAAAGAAAAACATAAACGCCTTGTGTAGATAACAAGTCACCAACACAAAGTAAGGAAGGAACCAGTTCTGTTTCCCATAGTAACCCCTGTCTACTAAAACCACACTACAAAATGAACCATCATCGCAAGTATTGAGAATGTTACATGGCATAAGAAGCAGCCAATCGGAAAACAGGAAAGCCGTGGTATACTCGACGGTATTGCACTCAAACTTTCCACCGAAAAAATGAAAAGTGGGATATTCCATGGTATATGACTCGAAACCATTGCATTACTAATCTATATACTTTACATGGCACATTTCAACCATGCCCTCGTTAAAAGAAAAAAAGAACGCCCATACAAAACACAATGAGAACCTTACCTTTGGTGTGCTGTAATGGTGTTTCCATAAGATTATGTCCTCGTCCAACATTTTACTCTGTAACACTGCTACCCTGGTGCTCTCCCTAGAAAAGAAATCTTCAAAATCATCTCCCATCAAAGGTAGGGTGAGTTTAATAGGCTTCGTGAAACGAAACTTCGACGGACGTATGAGGACAACAGGACTGGATGTGATGTCCACCATGTTGTTAGTATCTAGATCCTCTGGATCGCAGCTCTGAGGTGGAAGCCACGAACTCAATGATCTTGGGGAGACTGGGGCCGGTGCTTGCAGATTGTACAAGTCCTCATTGGAAATTGTTTCTAATGTTACCGGCGTTTTGCGAGTAACGCAACCAACAGGAAACTTGATTTGAATTCCGGGATATTCCGCCAGCTCCACCTCGCAGTCTGTGTAGGAATCCAGATTTTTTGTAACCTGGGGATGCTGGGTAATTTTAATCGTATAAAGTCCGCTTTTTTTACAACAGATTCTCGCTTCAGTCCTCGCTTCATTCACGTGAAAACAGAACGAATCGAGTGGCTTCCATTTAAGGTGTTTCACACCATTCCTCAGCCAAACGTTACTGCAGTAGAGGCAAACCATCTGGCCACAAGATTTCGGTACCACGCAGCTCGGTAGCTTTAACACGAGCTCGGCAGACGGCTCGAAAACAAATTCTTTTGGATAAATTTGTATTATGTCCGACACTCTCCTCTCGTTTTCTTCTAAAAATGGTTCATATTGAAGTTTGTTGAGGATTCTGAACCTGATACTCGACGACTTCGAGTTTTCTACACAAATGGCTGACGCTTTAAGTCTTATACCGAGAAATTCATTGGATGCCTCAAAAAATCCGTGAAATTCGCTCCCTGATCGAATCCAGCCACTCGAAATTGTGCTGAAAGGGAAAAAAAAATTTAGTGAAGACTATTAAGATATTTTTTTGTTTCATGGCTTTTTTTATGATGTCCACTGATATTCCATTATATCTGTTAATAGGGTTTGTATTGCAAATTTGTAGCTTCCCAGCTATTGTTTGTTTGGGTTCTTTTTTTCTTTTTCTTTTTCGCGTGAGGTCCGCAAAATGGTCCTAAAACAGCCAATTAGAACTTTTAGTAATTTTTTTTTCTCCCCTACCTCGCGAAAATTTATATTCAGGGACGCCTCAAGAAAAGCACAGACAGCAATAATGACGTCATCTTTTCCTCTTTAATAAAACAGCACAGGAAACATTAGTTTACTCAAAATGTTTACTTGTGTTGCTGGCGGGACTGAAAACGGTTGTATCTAACATCCCCAAAAATATTTCGTCTTTAACTCATTTATGACATTAGTTTTTTCTGCCATGTTAATTTGTCTTATGAGGTTTGTATCTTCACCCAAAAATATCAACAAAAAATGGGGTTTTGTTGCCATAATATTTCAGTGTTAGCAAAATATATTCAAATTTTAGTTCATTTTATGTGGCACCTGTCGCGTTAATACGTATGACGTTTTCAAAAATGATCATTATCATCGCATAATGTATATTGTATTCCCCAAATTTTGGCTTCAATGTCGAATCAGCCGCCTTAAATTTCAGCCGCGCTTCGATGTGGCTGAGTTGCTTCATTAAGTTCCTGTCGGAAAATAACTTCGTGACAATTGCTTGTTAAGTTTTCCTTTCCAGCCATGCTGACTTTTTAATCGAGTTACAAATGGTAAAGCTACCGTGCTTATGTTTCTAGGAGTGCTACCACAAATGATGGACTTCATAGCGAATTGATTTTTTCTTCCGCGAAATAAAGACGACACATCATCCCCAATTTAAAATTGATTTCCAAGCTTATATTCCGTACAAGCCTGCTTCAATTCAAAGAACGAGCTCAAGAAAGAAAACAAAAATTTAGTTTTGGATCTTTGAAATTTTAATAAGATATTATAATGAAAAGACTACTGCGTTATCGTTTTGTGTTATTTTAACAGGTATATATGGTAGATCATTTCCTTGTTGCCTGTATGCTGTCACCCCCACACACAGCCATTAAGGTGTCGTAGATCTTAGGCAAAGCAAAGATGATATGCGATTAATTTAAATTGTTAAAAAAGCCAGCGACGACAAAACGTTATCTGTTTTGAAATCGACTGAAACGCGGACGCGACGAGGACCCACGCACTTCTAGGCCTCCAAATGACAATAGAAAAAACGGGCTCATTAAAACCCTCTCATCGGAAAACATTCCTTTTATCAGCTTCTGTTGATTAAATGTTTTCCGAAACCCTTGTATTGATCCGAACAACTATTTTTTCCACTTCTATGTGATAATAATGTTCACAATTCCAAGAGGTACAAGGACCAACTTTGCATTCTAAACATTGTATCTTGACAACGAATTTACGGCCTATAAAGGAAATAATCGACCGCCAAGCATTCGATAAAGCCCTTATTGACTGGAATTGTATGTCATTCACGTGGTGTAACGAATAGATTGTCGAACGTTGCTTTGGAAAAATAAGAGTGATGTTTCTGTATGAAGTACAAATAACAAACAAACTTTTCAAAAGTCTGAATTAAGTCTTGCAAATGACGTATTTACCTAACCGTCGGCTTCATTGCTCCCTCTTCTTCTTCCAATATCAATTTACTAAATGATTGTTTTGAGTTGGTTTTCCACTCCATAACAACGACATCAATCAAGGCGTTGTTTGCAAAAGGTTTTCGCTTCTCGATGTGCTAATTGAGTGCAATTAGTGGGAGAGGTGATTCATCAAAGTCAGCTTCGAAATTGTGAATCTAACTTAGGTGAAATGACCGCTGGGAATAACCTGCATTGTTCAGCAGGCATTAGTAAACAGATCGTTAATATATGGAAAAGTTATTGCTTTATTGTTTACGCAAGGATACCTTTGTTTGGCAAAACATTCAGTGCTTTCGGTCAAAGTAATGAAACTTCATGGTAACCAAACAAAACAGACGGATCTTCGAAGAAATAGGATGCGAAACGAAGAAGAAATTGCGGAATCAAATACACTAGGAGCACTTTTTCTTTGGTTTGCCAGTTGGAAATGCCACCAAAGCCGAATTATCACACTCAACTCCTTCAAAATGGATTTTCGTAAGCGTTTGTTGAATAACTGTAATAAAAGGCCATTGTCTAATGGTACTTTGCCAAAGTACTGTCGGCAAACAATTTGAAGTTTTTAAGTTTTTGCTTTGTTATTGGCTGAAATGCAAATATTCCAACTTTGGTTGTTCGGTTACTTGTCGGCTTATCTTCGAGATCAACAACAAACTTATTTTCAGGCAATTATAGAATCAACAGCAGATCAAAACAATTCAACTTTTCATTTTAATACGTTGCAAATGAATTAATTCGGTATATGATATTAATTCTTTTAGCATTGTTTAGGTGATTGTTTTTACATCGTTGATAGAATATTGCCAGTAATGATGTTCAGACTTGGATACTAAATTACCACGCACCTCTGTACAGTTTTACCATTTAAAATGGCGACTCCAAAGAGAAACTACTACAAAATAAAAGAGAGGTGAATCAGCGAGACGTTGCCTTATGTAACAACAAGTAAAAGGAATATGTCTCGGAAACGCTTTCGTTGCAGTAATCGTTGCGCCGGAAAAGTACACTTGATTCTACTTCGTGCAATGATTGCTTCAGCGAAAACGTTGCAAGATCATTTTCGCCCTGGAGGGC